ACCAAACACCTAACCAAAGAAATCCTTCGTCCAGATGGCTTCACAGAAGAATCTTACCAATATTCAGAGACAATGTGACACTAATTTTACTTAAACTATTCCAGTATTCAGAAAAAGAAGGAATACTCTGAGATTCATTTTATGAAACCAGTATAACCCAGATATCAAAGCCAGGCAAAAAGATCACACAAAATAATCAAGTTACGGACCAATTATCTTTCATGAATACATGAAAATTCTCAACAAAATTCTAGCCAGCAGAATACAATAAAACCAAAAAACCAAACTCACTCAAGGTTGACTCATAGTGACCCTATAAGACAGGGTAGAAGTGCCCACGGGAGCTTTTGAAAGTGCAAGTCTTTACTGGAGTAGAAAGCCCCACCTTTCTCCGGAGGAGCAGCTGGTGGTTGCCAGCTGCTGACCCGGTGGTTAGAAGCCCAACTCGTAACCACGACACCACCGGGGCTCTGCAGAATACAAGAGCTTATCTAGAAAATAATACATCATTATCAGGTGGGAGTCACACCAGGGATGCAAAGGTGACTGAACATTAGAAAACCAATCAATGCTGTTTACCACATAAATTAAACCAAGGAAAAGAACCACATGATCATTCCACTCAATTCAGAAAAGGTATCTGATAAAATCCAACACTCTTTCTTTTTAAAAACTCTAGTAAAATAGAAATAGAAGGTAAATTCTTCAACATAATTAAGGGCCTATATCAAGAGAGACCAGTCCCTGGAAAAAGACTTCATGCTTGATAAAATAGAGGGTCAGCAAAACAAAGGAAGACCCTCACGGAGATAAACTGACAGTGACTGCAACAACTGGCTCAAACCTAACAATGGTTGTGAGGGTGGCACGGGAGCAGGCAACGTTGTCGTGCTCGTGTGCACAGGGTTGCTACAAGTCAGAAACAGCTCGATGGCACCTAGCAACAGTCTATAAAAACCAACAGTCGACATTCTTCTCAGGGAGAGATTGAACGCATTTCCCTTGAAAATGGGTAGGTGACAAAGACACCCAGTATCACCACTCTTAATAATCTACTGGAAATCCTAAGCAGAACTATGAGGCAAGAAAGAAATCAAGGGTATATGAATTGTAAGTGTGGAGTAAAACCATCACTATGCACAGGTGACAAGTTCCTATCCATACAAAGATCCAGAAGTTCCACAAGAAAGCTATTGGAACTAATAGAAGAGTTTAACAAAGGGGCAGGGTAATAACATTCAAAAATCAAATGGGTTCCTATACACTAACAGGAAGAATCAATAATATTTATAATAGTCCCCAAAAGGGCAAGATACCTAGGAATAACTCTAGCTTGACTCCTACAAGACTTCATATAAGGAAACAACAATGCACTACTACATGAAACTAAGAGACCTACATAAATAGAAATGCATCACATGCTCATGGATTAGAAGACTTTCTAGTGTGAAAATGTCAGTACTGCCTAAAGTTATCTATAGGTAATGCAATCTCTAACTAAACCCCAAACGATAGTCTTTTGTTAGGTGCCACTGAGTGAACCCATGTACAACAGAATGAAATACTGGCCAGTCTTGTGCCATTCTTCAGTTAAATGAAAAACTAATCTCCAACTTTATATGGCAAGGAGAGAGGCCCTGAATACCTAAAACAACACTGAAGAATGAAGTAGAAGGCCTCACACTTCTGTGCCTCACATATCTTTGAACTGCACATACAGCCACAGTAATCAAAACAACCTGATACTGGTACAATGTTTGACACCAATGAAACACAATAGTTGATCTTTGACAACAGGCCAAAGTTCATTCAATGGGGAAGAGGCAGTTTACTTAACAAATGATGCTGGCAAAACTATATATCCATTTGCAGAAAAATGAAGAAAAAAATCCGTACTTCACATGATACACAAAAACTAATGAAAAAGGATTAAAGCCCTAAATTTTTAGTTTACCTAAAACTTTAAAGTTTCTGGATGACAACACAGAGACAAAGCGAGGAGTCCTAGTTTTTGGTATAAGCATAATAGGAAACACCATTGAAAATACATAAACCACAGGAGATATATTAGAATAACTCAGACCATCTAAAAACTGAAAATTCAGCAATGTTTGGAAATGAAAAACAAAATGACTATTATGCTTAACAAAAGACTTTACCCCTACCTATAACCCCTTCCGAGGGGGGTGGACAATAGACAAGGAGGTAAAGGGAGACATCAGACAGTGCAAGACATGACAAAATAATAATAATTTATAAATTATCAAGGGTTCGGGAGGGAGGGAGGGAGGGAGGGAAGGAGGGAGGGAAGGAGGGGGAAAACGGGGAGCTGATTATCAAGGGCTCAAGTAGAAAGAAAATGCTTTCAAAACGATGGCAACATGTACAAATGTGCTTGACACAATGGATGGATGGATGGATTGTGATGAGTGGTACGAGCCCCCAATAAAATGATTAAAAAAAAAAAGACTTTACCTAAAAAGTAAAGAGAACCTACAGATTGGTTGAAAAACTTTTTAAAACATGGGTCTAATCTCTAAAATACTCAGAAAACTTCAACAATTTGACAAATAAACCAGAAGAGTCGAACATGGGTAAAGGACTCATATGAACAGAAACTTTGCCAAATAGGACACTCAGTGGCTAACATAATACGTGTAATGCTGAAAATATCTAAAGATCAACTACTCAACAACAAAAAGGCAAACGACCCAATTAAAAATCAGGCAGAGAACTTCAACAGACATTTCTCCAAGAAAGATATACAAATGGCTGATAAAGCAAATGCAAATACGTTCAACACCAAAAGTCATTAGAGAAATGCAATCAAAACCACAGTGATACCACAAAAATAACAAGGGTTGGTGAAGATGTAAAGAGATTAGAGCCCTTGCACTTTGCTAGTGAGATTGTAAAGTGGTGCAGATGCTGTGGAAAACAACACAGCTGGGTGATAACTCAACAACAGAGAACTACCACATGACCCTCGGGAGTCCTGGTGGCACACGGGGTAAGTGCTCACAGTGGCTCTGCAGGAAAAAAGACTTGGTAATCTGCTCCAATAGAGATGACACTGGGGCAATTCTATTTTGTCTAACAGGGACAAGATTACTCAAAAATCAGCTCAAGGGCACCTAACAACAACTATACACTTCAGCAAGTCCATTCTTAGCTATATACCCATGAGACTTGAAACCTGAGTGCACATTAGTCACAATAGCCAAAAGGTGGAAATGTACATCAATAGGTGAACAAATAAACAAAATGTAGTATCCATACACAATGGAATATCATACAATCATAAAAGAAATTATGTTATGATACATGTTGATATCAAGGGAGTTTGAAAACATTATGCTAGGGGAAATAAGTAAAATATGGGTATAGTGTAAATCCCACTTCCATGAAAGATCTGGAACAAGTAAATGCAGAGACACAAAAGTGTATTAGTAGTTCCCAGGGAGGGCTGCAGGAATTAGACAAGGAGAGTATTTGCTTGAGAGTTTCTGAGCTAAAAACTTGGAAACAAAGGGTGGGGATGGCTGCATAACATGGTAAGTACAATTTACCATGTCACTGAATGGTATAATTTTAAATACGACATTTGCGATAAAAATTTTAACATGATAATTTAAGAACCAAACTCCAAAAAACCAAAGCTACAAATGTATTTATAATCACTACCTGTGTGGTTATTATTGAATCATGGCATTAAATTCAGTTCTTAAATACGTAGTATTTTTGCTCTGGGGATGCAGTAGACTCAGCCTCACCTGGTTATGGACTGGGGTTCCATTCTCCCAGCCACATGACCTTGAGCAAGTTCTCTAATTCTCTCAGCCTCGGCGTGTAAGGGTAAAAAAATACAAACAAAATAACTCACTGCCATTGAGTTCATGCCAATTCATAGTGACCTTTACAGGACAGGGTAGAACTGGCCCTGTGAGTTTTCCAGATGGTAACTCTTTATGGGAGTAAAAAGACCATCTTTCTCCAGAAGATTGGCTTGTGGTTTTTAATGGCTGGCCTTGCAGTTAGCTGTCCAATGCGTAGCCACCAGGGCTCCACCATAAGAGAGGTTGTGAAGATAGTATAACAGGCCAACTTCATAGGCAGGTTGAGAAGACTTTAAAACTTATTGCCATTGAGTCAATTTGACTCATCGCATCCCTATAGGGCAGAGAAGCTGCCCCTGACGGTTTCTAAGACTGTAAATCTTTATGAAGCAGAAAGCCTACTCTTACTCCAATGGAGTGGCTGGTGGTTTCAAAGGGCTGTCTCTAGGTTAGCAACCCCAATGAGTAACCAACCCCCGCACCACCAGAGTTCCTTCTGAAAAGACCACATGAAGCTAAAGCCTCTAACTAGCCTTAGGATTTTGAACAGAGTACTGTGTCCAGTTTTCAGAATTAAAACTTGGGGAAAATGTATTTTGCTGTCAAATGCTAAAATCAAGTTTAAATTTAACATTCTATAGATCCAGTAAACTGAGCTGGGAAGCTAACCACTAATATGTTTTTACCCTATTTACCCTTACATTAAGTTCCATTGCTTTATTTCACTAAAAAACTGGCTTGTTCATCTTTAAGCCCAAGGGCCAGCATATTATCTAACAAAGAGTAGTTACCAATTCAATCACTTGTCCAATAAATGAAGAGTAAAATAAATGGTAAATGTAACAAAAATTATTTATGAGGCTGTAGAGTCAGCAAAAACGGTTAAGCATTACTCTGACACAATACATCCATTCAGGACTCTAACTTCGACATCTCACACAGGGTAAAGGCAGTGACATCAAAGAAAAAGGGGACACGGTACCATTTCCAGCTTCAATATGTCATGTCTGGGAAGCTAATAATACTAGCATTATTCATTTTTTTAATCAGGACTGTATATAAAATAATGATACAAAAATCGTGTAGATGAAATTTTTTTAGATAATCAAGACCTATGCAGCCTAAGTCAACAAAACCAAAAAGTAAAATAAACAGCGGACCTACCTTGGACCTCTTGGGCCTTCCAAGTAACTGCTTCTAGGAGGATCTGGAAGCAGTCCACCTGACCTCACTGGCATATCCTTGACTCCAGTTGAAACAGCTGAAGATTCCCCAAGTCCTTGCTCAGATGAGAACGAACTGTATGGTGGAGCAGACTTAATCAAAGGAGCTTTAGAATTCATTTGATCTGACTGCATTGGAGAATGGTAAGTAGAGGGTGGGCCAGACCCAAATGACACAGGAGTGGGAAGTAGTGCTGGTCTAGGTTTCTCTGGAACTTGTGAGCTCTGAGAACTAGAAGCTGGTAGGCCTTTCGTTAACTGAGAAGGTATGCCTTGTGGAACTCCAGGGGGAGGCATTCCTGGAGGGGGAGTAGCAGAAGACAACGGTGGAAGGGGCATAACAGGTGGAGGTGCTGTTGAAGAGAGAGATGGTGGGGGTAGAACTGGTGGTGGCCCTGCAGTAGAGAGTGAAGGTGGGGGAAGACCTGGTGGTGGCCCTGCTGAAGAGAGAGATGGAGGCATCCCTGGTGGGGGCACGGAGGTTGGCAGAGAAGGCGGCATCACAGGTGGGGGCATGCCAGGTGGGGGCACAGTGGAAGGTAGGGCTGGGGGCATCACAGGAGGTGGTAATGATGGAGGCAAGACTGGAGGGGGCATGGTTGGTAGAGGAGGAGGCATCTGAGAATACGGAACAAAGGGAGGTGGCATTGACATGTTCCCCATGTACTGATTCTTCATGTTTTGAAGTGCATTGACTTTCTCCTGGAGATAGTTCTGAGACGCTTTCATATGTCCTTGCCATGTCTTCCACTGTTTCTCATACTCCTGCAGCTGATCTTTATGAGGATAGGAATTGAACTGCTCCTCCCAGAGCTGAAACTCTCGCTCCCATTCTTGGTAGAGATGTTGAAACTGTTGTTGCTGCATTTCATAGTGCCGCAGCTGCATATCTACCGACATGGTCTACAAATAAAGGGGTAAAAATTATTTTACAACATTCACATAAGAGGATCACAAGCTAAAATATTAATGAAGCAAGGGCATTTGGAGCCTTAAAAAATTAAAACACTAAAGATGATAGAAGGCTAAGATTAAAATTTTAAAATTCTTCCAATGATCAGTTCTCTTTCTTCTTTTTTACTTATATTTTTGTGATTACAGTTAGAAAAGTCAACCAAATATAAAAGCAACTATCTACTTCAACCATGTTGAGTATTTCTCCAGTATTTATTACTTCTCTAAGTATAAGAGCTTCAAAAAATGATCTACTATTATAGAAACATAAACACAAGATAGTTACAAAAAAAATTTAAATAAAAGAAATAAGATATAGTTACAAAGATACAAAAACAAAATCCAAGTTGCTTTTTTTTTTATAATGCCTCTGGTTAGTTTTTTGTTGTTATTGTTTAGTATCTGGGTGGATTATTTGCTTGTGGTTTTATTATAGTGGTTTGTATATGAAACACAAGTTAACTTGTAACTATACAGTATAATCCTGTATCGTAAAAATCCCTTCACAAGAGTATTCTAACAGCTAGCCAGGTTGGAAGGCTCCATTATACCCTTCCTGGACAAGAACACGTGCATTATTCCTAAGTCATCAGGGCAATGTGACAGGTAACTAGTAGAAACCCCTTGGGAAACAACACTTAGTGGTCAACATTCGATGTCTTCAGCACTTAGCTTCAATTCTTTCAGAAATAAAGCCTTTACACATCTTGGAACAACTTGCGATTTGTCCGTGGAGGAAGCACTTGCCTGGATATGTGGCGGCTGCTGTATCATCTGCTGGTACTGCTGTAGGACCTGCTGCAGCTGATTGTGCTTCTGCATTATGCCCTGATACTGGAAGCCGACGCGGTGTTGCTGATGCTGCTGCCAGTGTGCGGCTGCGGCCTGCAACTGTTTTAACCTGGCATCTTCCTCAGGGTCTTCAGACTGAAAATAATTAAAGAAAGAATATAGTATTATGTAAATCACTAATTTTTTTTTTTAACCTGGAAAATTTGGTGAGCTGCTAACCATAAGGTCAACAGTTCAAAACCACCAGCTGTTCCTTGGGAGAAAAATGGGGCTTTCTACTCCTATAAAGAGTTAGTCTTAAAAACCCACAGGGGGGTAAAAAAGAGGGGTGGGGAACCCACAGGGGTAGTTCTACCCTGCCCTACAGGGTCACAATTAGCATCTACTCGATGGCTGTGAGTTTTTGTTATAAATTCCAGAATTCCTATGTCTCAGGCTGAATCAGACAAGCTCTCCTATCTTTAAATGTAACACCTAGCTAGCTCTAGGACTACTATTTTAGATACTAGTCAAAAGGAGTGTATAAATCCCAGTCATCATTGGAATAATCTCACCAGTCCTAAAAAAGACAATCACTTCTCCAGCAAAAAGGAACCTACAGCTACTGTCTCTTTTTAGAATATGAGAAATTGCCTGTTCTTTTGCTTTAGTCATTTTCCAACACAAAACTACCCTCTAATCATTATATTTCAATAATCAGGCTTTTCCATAAAGCTCTGGAAGAACAATGGCCTTTGGACCAAGGTGAGATCTTTCAATGTGTTAATCACTATGATAAATGAACAGGATTATCACACTTAATGCGCAAAGGCTCTTTAAAATATGTAGGTACCATTTGAACATGTTCACTTTACAGATGGAAGAAATTGAAGCACAGGATGGTTAACTAATTTGGCACCAAGGGGTACTGCCTGGACTCCAGCCTGGGCAGTTTGACCTGGCTCTTGCCCTGGCCAGCAATACTATGAAACCACCTTGATATTCCTATCCCTCTAATGTGGATGGACTCTTGATACAGAAGGGTGTCAAATTCTTCACTCTCAGGTGGAACCGATCACAATGATCTACATATAACCCCTTCCCTGGGGGACAAAGAAAAGTGGATGAAGGGAGTGAGACATTGGACAATGTAAGACATGACAAAATAATGATAATTTATAAATTAACAAAGGTTCGTGAGAGAGGGAGGGTAGGAAAGGGAGGGGGGAAAAATGAGGAGCTGATACCAAGAACTAAAGTAGAAAGAAAATGTTCTGAGAGTGATGATGGCAACAAATGTACAAATGTGCTTGACACAATGGGTGGATGGGTGGATTGTGGTAAGAGCTGCATGAGCCCCCCAATAAAATGATTAAAAGAAAAAATCTTCACTCTCATTGAACCAGAGAAAAACCACTCTTTTCTAAATAGGACATACAGCTATTCTGATTATTCTACAAACAGACTTTTCTGTGTAATTTTAAAAATATACAAAGGGGCTTTTTAAAAATTCCTGGAAAAGTGGAATTAAATGATACTAAAAAAGGATTATCAATTTTCAGAAAAACCAAACAAGACTCATATGTCATACGACATTCACGATGAAGTCAAGACCTAATGATTAAGACCCAAATGTAAAGCCCAGAGCTATAAAGATTGTAATGAAAAAGTAGGGACAAACTTAGGGACCTTGATACATGGCAAAAACACACTACCAAAAAGTGAAAAACACACAGTTCGAAGAAGCATTCCTACAAGTCTACCAGAGAGAGCCAGTGCTTTTCAACACCCTGGAAAATGGTACCTGGCTCCTCTACAACAACACAACACAAACAGCCATCAGCCCCAACGACCTCAATGAAAGAACGGGAGAAACAAAAGGCAATGGCAGAAGATGTCCTGAACATAACGACATCCACAGAAGAAGCAGACATTGATCTGCCACAAAAAGAAATTTTCAGAATGCTGCTTGGAGTCATAAAGGATATGAGGGAAACAATACAGAAAAAGGATGAAATGATAGATGAAATAAAGTCCATACACCAAAGGGAAATACAAGAGCTTAGAGATGAGATAACAAAAGCCAGTAGCAGAAACACGATCTTCAAGAATCGACTGGAGGAAGCAGAGAACCGCACCAGTAACTTGGACAACAGCCAAGTAGACTTTTACAAATGTGAACGAAAATCTAATAAGATCACCAGAGAAGCTGAAGAAAACCTAAGAGGTATTTCTGATGCTATGAGGAGGAACAACATTAGAATTTTTAGATTACCGGAGGAAGACACAACAGAGAAGTCATCTGCAATAATAGTAAAAGAATTCTTGGAGGAAAACATCCCCGGCTTAATGAATGAAAACTAGGCAACCATTCAGGAGGCTGAAAGAACACCAGCTAGACTGAATTTCAAGAAGAAGTCACGAAGGCACATAATAGTTAAACTATCCAACTTTGAATAAAAGGAGAAAATCCTGAGAGCTGCTAGGGAAAAACAAGCAATCACATATAAAGGTTCCCAAATATGAATATGCTCAGACCTCTCAGCAGAAACTATGAAGAGGAGAGAGTGGAGTAACATATTCCAAAAATTGAAGGAAAACAACGCAAACCCAAGAATACTCTACACAGCCAAATTATCAGTCAAGATAGATGGAGAAGTAAGAGTCCTCCAAGACAAGGAAAAACTCAAAGAACTAGTTAGAAGAAACCCAGGCCTACAAAAGATCCTTGTCGACCAAGTATGGGCAAAATAACAACACTCACCAAGCATAAATAAGGGACTGCCACATAGAACAACCTCACCCAGAGGGCAATAAAGAGAAAAAAACCCCAAGATAGCACTGGCTTAAGGATGGAAATAAATCAAGAATGATAAACACACACACATGCACAACATATTAATAAGAAAGGGAGGTAGGAAAACACCCAACACAAAAGGTATAAGATGACATCACAGAGTCTGCAGATGGATATAATAACCCTGAATATCAATGGCCTGAACTCAGGCATTGAAAGACTGAGGCTAGCAGGCTGCTTAGAAAACTCAATCCATCAATCCGCTGCCTACAGGAGACACATCTGAAGGCTACAGACAAAAATAGACTGAGAATCAAAGGCTGGGGAAAGGCATACCAAGCAGACAGCAATTCAAAAAATGCAGGGGATTGCAATCCTAATCTCGGATAAAACTGACCTCAAAGAACAAACCATTAAAAGAGATAAGGGGGAAAAAAAAAAGAGAGAGATAAGGAGGGACACTATATAATGCTCAAGGGAATGGTAGAAAAGAACCACTAAGCATTGTAAACATATATTCCCCAAATGAGAGACCAGCTGAATTTGTCAACCAACCACTCCAAAAGATGAAAAAAGAAAGCACAGTTTCAACAATTATAGTGGGTGACTTCAATACACCGCTCTCTGAGGAAGACAGATCACAGGGAAAGAAACTCAACAGGGAGGCTGGAGGTAAAAATACTACAACTAGACAATTTGATCTGATATTTACAGAGCTTTTCATCCAGATACAAAAAAATTCACATTCTAATCAAGACCATATGACACATATACGAAGATAGACCACATGCTGGGGCATAAGGCAAATCTACATAAATTGAAGCATATTGATATCATACAGACCTCTCTCTCTAACCACTGTGCAATAAGGCTGGAAATGAATAAAAGGAAGATGAAGAAAACAAGAGCAAATAATTGGAGGATGAATAACTTTCTATTGTAAAAGGAGTGTGTACTGGCACAGATCAGAGATGAAATTAGGAAATTTCTAGAAGCCAACGAGAATGAGCAAACGGCGTACCAACTTATGGGACACAGCAAAAGCAGTCATCAGAGAAAGTCTCATAGCAACACATGCACACCTGAGAAAGGAAGACTCATGATTGATATGCTGGCACAAAATTTACAACTAGAGCAGAGTCAGCAGGAAAATCCTACTAATAGCAAAAGAAAAGAAATTATAGTTGGAAAGAGGGAACCGATTACAAGGATTTATGTTTGACCTCCTCCCTGGGGGACGGACAACAGAAAAGTGGGTGAAGGGAGACGTCGGACAGGGCAAGATATGACAAAATAATAATTTATAAA